AAAGCCAATGGCGAGTGAAGATGTCTGGGTGCTGAGTACTGGCATTCGGTGCCTGCCCAAGGAAACTTCCTGGCATCAGGCTGAGTGAGCACTGGGTTTCTCTCATTGGCTGCTGCTGTGGCTTGTCTGAAAGATTAATGCTGCTAGAATATATGGTTTGTTTAGCTATTTTTATTGACCCATGAATATACCTACTGTATAATTTATTGTAAGGTTAGTAGTTCAGTCCTGTGATGTTTGCTATAGAAAATCTTCAAGCCAGTGGGAAATTTTGCTAGGGTGAGGAGTGCAGGCCTGGCCTCTGCTTCGCCTTTTTTCTTTTCCATTGCAACACAATTAACCTTTTCATTAGAAGAGCTCTGTTCCAAATAAGCAAACTTCTCAATGTGTATTACTGAGCCATTTCAAGCTGTCTCTTGCTTTGGAACAAAACATCTTTGTTCCAGCCATGCATGACATTTGAAGACCTATTTAAACAATGTGTCAGCTCCATTTGTTTTCTTCATCCTGATATTTTCCTCTGTATTTTTGGTTAGCCATCCAGATTGCAAGGAGTGAGACTGCTGCTGGTTTCCTCCTGCGCTGTTCCAGACCGAGGCACTGGCTGCCTTTGGCCTTCCTCCTCTTTTGCGGGCAGAGGTGAAACAACCCAAAATCAAACACAGTTTTGCCTGCATCATCCTCTCTGCACTGAGACCAGCACCACCAGGCAGCTGTGGGATGGAGTGCACAGAGGGCTTGCAGAAGGACCTGGTATTATTACAATTTCTTGATACCCTGCCTGTGTGATGTACATGGCTGCAATGTCTTCTGCTGGAGAGGACTCTCTGAGGGCCAGATTTCCAAGTTGCATCACTAAATATGCCCTCCTTTTTTTCCTGAGACGTTCATAATTTGTCCCAAGTCTCTAATCAGCCCTTCTTGTCTGACAGCACAATGCTAACTGATGCAACAAAACCCAATGTAAAATTAAAAAAAAAAAACCCTTATCAAGATGTCGAGTAATAAAACTTAATGTCCTCCTGATTTTAGTATTGAGTAAGTGTAAATAATTATGGGGTTTGGTCCATCCTCTCCCTTGTAAATAATTTATCTAACTTGGGACACTACATGTCTTCTTTTTTTACTACTCAAGCAGTGACATAATGTCTGTCCCAGCTCTGGGACTACCTAGTGACAAATGAAAGTTTAAGTCCTCTTTGAAATCTTTTACACAACCTGCCAGCTGAAGGTTTCAAGCTGCTTTAACATGTGCAGGATGCCAGGGAAATCATACTGCAAGCCTTACTTCAACCAGAAAATGAGGCAGCACAGCAGCGGTGAGCCTAGGGTTGCAACGGCAAAACCCCATCTGCTTTCTCCAATATTATCCTCACCAGGAAGGTTGGGGAAGGAGGGTGAAACAGCCCTGTGCAAGCAAACCTGCTCCTGCCAGCTATTACGTGGCCCACTCAAAGCCTTTGATAAGGCCAAGCAAGACTTCAACGTTGGCCTTGTTCTTCCCCATCCACGAAAGAGGAGACAGACGGTTTGGCCTATAAGATCAGAGATTAGTCTTCAGAGCACCTCACAGTTGTGTTTTACGTAGACACTCCCTCCAGCTTTTGGGAAAGTGTATGATCTCCGCTGAATGTGAAGCTGCAGCTCATTTTCATGCCAAACACTTAATGTGTGCCATATTCAACCAGACTGCAGTCAGCAGCCTTTGTGCATGGTGGATGGGCTTCTGCCGCAAGGAGCGGAGGCGGTGGCATGCAAGGAGGAATGCCTTCAATACCATGTGCTTCAAAAGCAGTGCTTGCGAGCTTTGCTTTGCGTTCCAGCAGCTGGGCTAGAGCTGCGTGCATGGTTTCGCTCGGCACAAATGAAACCAAGGCATCCATATGCTGTACATTAAGAGAAAGAGCGTTTGATCTCCTGCTCACTGGCTCATTGTTCAGATGCTCCCTCTTCCTCTCCGTAGCAGTTTTGAGGAGTACAAAGCCCGGTGTCAAAACCTGTAAGTCTGAATGCGTTTATCGGCTCTGTGATGGGAACTGCAGCACTTAACACAAAACAGTTGAGAAAATGTTGCTGGCCACAGCCATAAAACCTGCCCTCATCTTTTCCATGATGGTGGCGGAAAAGAAAATTCCTCAAGTTGTATTTTCCTATTTAAAGACGAAGGGAAAAGGACTGCCAAAGTGGATGGAATTTAGGCCAACTGATGTAACGCCTGGGTTAGCAAAGCAAAATGCAATCTCCTCCAAGTGCAGGAACTGTGGCCGTGCATAGCCAAGGCTGCTACGAAGCCACTGCAGCTCTGCATGGGCAAGGGACAGCTTGGGTAACATCAGGCTTCAAGCCTGCCACTGGGTTAATTACTGTGTCACTGCTTACCATGCATTTTCGAGTCATTTATTGCAGTGGCCCATTAATGTTATGTTCTGCTAAGAAGCTACAGACATCTCTGATCCACATTGAAGACGCTGGTGAGATAGGAGAGAAAAGCTCCACTGCGTAGAGGACTTGCTGGCTCTTCAGTATTGCCCCATGCAGGTTGGGAACCGGGCAATACTGTAACTTGGAACTGTTACAATGGAAGAAGCACAAGCAACAACCAGGTAACAATAGAAATGGGTTTTATTTTGTAAAAAGTTATAAAATGAATATTGTACAAAAATAAAGTCTGTAGAGAACTTTGGTTGATTAACACAAATGACTGACACATAAATTGCAGGTGAAGTAAAAAACTCCAGAGAAGCACACTCCTGTCTTCAGTAAAGTCTAAAAAATAAAAAAAAAATCACGAACTTTACCCTTTTGTATTTTGAACATAGTGATTTGCTTTGGTTGCAGCCTCTTCAAGCTGCACATAAAATGCTTTGGGGCACGTTTTCAGCAACCGGGGCAAGTGAAAGCACACCTCTGAGTGCTGCGCCTGGTCAACTGCCCAGCAGCGCAGCTGACCCTCAGCTTAGCAGGCTTTTGCTGCCCAAATCATGCCAATGCTGGTGGTGGTATCAGCTGTACCACTCCTGCCCAGCGTGGAGGGTAAGGTGTCCCTGTGGCAGTGGGAGAACGGACCCCGCGGGTGGGCTCCGGGGCTGTCCTCCATCTGCCCAGGAAAGCAGCAGAGGTCAGGGCTGAATTACATTTCATACACCTGGTACATCATTCTATGCCCGTTCTGGACTTTTTTGACCTCTAGACCCTTCTGTGGCACCCTGAGGGGCCCAGGGCAAAATGAGTATGGAGAGCCATTGCATGCATGAGATAAAAGGTCAGACCATTATTTTTTTGGTTTTCAATAGGGATTTTTTTTCTTCCTGTTGTTTTTGTGGGAGTTGATGCTTCACTGGTTGTCAGGTATGTCTAGTGACCTCCATTGCCGCTCCTTCGGGAAAGAAGTCTCCAGAACGAGAGCTTGCGTTAGTGGTCAGGTATGAATGCCTTTGTTGTACAACCTCCCTCATCCTAAGGAAACTCGGACTGTTCTGCTGCGTGGGTACGATCCTGTAACATTTCAGCAAATTATACAAAACACTTTGGTTATTTAACACAATTGTTTACCTGCAGGCTATATTAAATCCAGGGCTAACTAGTAAGAGGGATTTAACCTCTTATATATGGAAATATGGCAGGAAAAGCTTAAATAAATATAACAAGAAATTATAAGGCTAAATGTGATTATTTCCCATTTGTCAATAGTTATATGAGGTCAGTTGGCAAAAAGTGTGATAAAAAAATGTGGCTACATTTAAAATACGACTAGAATTAGTTTTTCTAACAAATTGCTAACGTTGAGCCCAGTCCTGCAACCCTCACTCATCCAGAGCCACTGCTGCTCCTGTGCATGTATGACTGCAGTAATTTTCAACCGTATTAGTGAACAGAAGGAAGGGCTGCAGGCTTCGGCACATTTTGTGAACATAATCAGGATTTTGTTTAAAAGAAAAAAGGTAAAGTAAGTGATTTTTTGCATTCAAGTTAACACTTTCAATCAACAGCATGGACTGTTGTTCCCAACTTCATTGTCTCTCTGTATCTTCCAAGCACCTTCTACTTTGGCACCTTTGAAAAGAAACTTTAATAAATAAGGAAAGGAGACTCATTACTGAACTGTAATAAATAACAATAACTTAATCTCAATAAATATCTTCTGTACATTTATGTCTCTGAACGGATGCATTGCATCAAGTAGTCTCTGCTCACTCACAATGACCAAATAGAAATGTAGTTACGCAAGTGACGTTAGTCCTTTGTAAACCAAAAGAAACATGTTTTGTATAGGCCAGGCTTGTGATTTCTCGTACTATACTAGGAAGAAGTGCTTAAAAACTCAACTTGTTTCCATAGGTGGCAGAAGAATGAAATCCTACGCTCATTTTGAAGAAACGGGAGATGGAAATAACCAAACTTAACCAGTAAGTGGAACTGTTTTGCTTCGTATCGATACTGGCCCTACAGAACTTGAGCCTGGGAGTTTTAATATTTGCCCGACAACATCTTACTTATGAGGTTAATCTTACTACAGCTTAGAAGTTGTCCTAAGTGCTTAGGAACTGCCCTTCAACGAGCAGTAGCACCACGTGTCTGTCAGTACAGCTGAGGGCACAGGGGTCAGTAAGGTACTCCCAAGCTGCTTCTCAGCTAAGCTTCCTGGCACGGATGGTGTAACTACAGCACAGTGTGGTATGGCAGGGTTGTGTTTTTAAGCACTTTCCTCACGGATCAGAGTCTCACTGACGGTGGACTGTGTCAAACGGGAAAGGGAGCACGCACGCCATCCAGCCGTCGGCATCTCCACCTGAGCGTTTATTCACTTTCTCGTAGGAGGTTAAAAGCCTCCATCCTCCTACGCCGCCTCGTGCCCCCCCTCCCCGGGCTCTGCGGCCCCTCGTTCTGCGTTCTTGGTCCTCTTTTCTCCGCTCTGAGCAGACGCTTCCCCGGGACCCTTGGTCCCTCTCTTTGCATCGCACCAGGAATGCAAAACCGGCGCCGCCTCCGGCGTGCAGCCGTCAGACGCATCCACACCTTTTTGCGGAATGTTTTTTCAGTATGTGGTAAACCAGATTATCGTCCAAAAAGGACAGGTCATCGTCAAAGGCTGTAGGTCTGCAACAAGCTTGCCTCACTTTGTCAGTGACTAGTTTTTTCTTTCTGGTTAAGTTTTTTAAAATTTTGTCATAGGTGGTCTCGGCTGCATCACAAGATCCACTGCAGTACCGGAAAATGAGCTCTTCTTTGGTTTCATATCCCAAATCCAAGTCAGTCACGTTTAAATGTATTTCTGTTAAGACACATCCTCGATTTTTGCCCTTTTGATTCCTCCTTCCCTTTTTGCTGGAATTCTCTATGTTCGTGCCTGCATTTTGCCGGTTTCTCTCCCGCCTAGAAAAAATCGGAGTCTGTTTATCCGGCGACCTCCTCAGTCTTTTAATGGTGGCTTGAATAAAGTCCACTACCTCATCAAACTGATCTGGATAATCCTCTGGCATATTAGCTGTTTGGGAAAGAGAGAAAAGGCTTTGTCACATGTCAGTTGTCATTAAGTTTGTCCATTTGTGGCTCAAAAACGTTAGACACATGCAAGCTGCTCTGCCCATCGCTTCACAGCGGGTGCCCAAGACCGTCAGAAATCAGGGAGAATTTGGAAGGTTTAGATCATCATGGAAACTTATTTGGGGAAAAATAAATGAGATACGTATGTATCTCTGTAGGGGTCTGCTGATGCTGTAGCATTCCAGCACGACTTTCAATATTGAATGAGCCCTGTCAAAATCAAGGGGAGGAAAAGCATGTCATGATACGCATATTAGTTAATGGGTGGATGAAGCTATTGTGGAGAGGTTATACAGGCTCTTCCCAGCAAAGCGGCAAAAGGATGAGGTTTCTTTAAAACAATTTTGTGACTATAATTGTTAATTGTTGTCTTTTCACACCAGAGGCGGTTAGTATTGCCAAAGCCACCTATCGATAAGGTTTTTGGGCAGGACAGAAAGAGGAATTTCCTGGGGTACCAGGCTGAGCTATTATTCCTGGCTGAATGCCTACTTTTTTTACTGCTTCTAGGGGATAATTATTATCAGAGCTTTTGAAAAATTTCTCATGGAAGTACTTTGTATCACAAGATGCTGATCAGACTGAGTAGAAGTAGGTCAGAATAGAAGTATTATGTTAATTTTCAAGGGAAATGTTATTAATGCATTTTCTTTTTATTAAGTTAAAACACCTATTTCATTTTTCACTTGATATGTACTCTACCAGTGATAAATTACTCAAGTAAATTAAATGTTGAAGTCAATGAAATGTTTTGATACCAGCAGAATGAACCTCTTCAAGGAGGGTGAAATTGAACGTGTTCTGAAATCTTCTCAGATTTCAGCTTTTCAGCATGATTTGGAGAAAAATCACATTTTGAAATCTTTAAACTTCCCATGGACTAAATCCCTCAATCTGATCTGCTTTAGTGAATATAGTGATTTAATGGAGGGTCAGGCTGTCAGAAGCCCGTGTCTAGGTGCCGTTCTGTTGTAATACTGCAATTACATTGCAATATTGAGATTTTTTTTTCTCATTCATTATGCCAAAAATCAGGACTTGAGGACTCATTTCCTTCGCCGAAAGACCTAAGAAGATGCTTCTTTCTTTACTTAACTCCTACGTGCCCACCAATGTAACCGACCAGTGTCACGCACCCAGCCCTGCATGTATAGGAGCTCCATCTCCAGAAGGACCCCTACAAATATCCCAGGAACGGCAAACATTAGGAAAGGTGATAACCAATGCAGTGCACCTGGCCAGGGGTTGGTACCTCCATGGAGCCACGAAGGCTCTCACCTGGTCAGGTGCTGAGATAGGAACAGGTCCTTAGGCAAAGGCTCAGTGCCACATTTCCCTAAAGAGCACTGTAACAGACAGGAGCCCTGTCTGGAGACCGGGCAGCACATGTACCCAGCCCACACACGGTGGCATGGACTCTGTGTGGAGAGAGGAAGACATGAGGCTGCCTCCATTGCCTAGCGAAGGTACACCTTCATATCCTCAATAGAAACATCAAATCCAGAGGAGATGGGGCAGCAGGATCTTAACTCTTAGTGCAAAAACCTGCTGAAACACAGTGCACCTGCTCGAAAGGAGGAACACAGACCCCTCCCTGAAGCAGCCACATCCTAGAGGCCCCCCTCCAAGACAAAACAGTGATGGATCAGAAGTATACGGTTTTTCATAGGCAGCTCCAGCAAAATAGTATAGACTGGTAAAAGAGTGATGAAGGCAGACAATCTTGTACCTTCACATAATGAGGGTGGCACATAGGAAGCAGGATCCTATAAATTGTAGAGTCTGGGACTGGGAAAAGTGAATTACACTTTGTTTTACAGGTATCCATCCTAAAAGCAACAATCTTGCAGACCAGTGACTGTCAAAAGACATGAAGGAGGGATGGCTGCTATCTATACAGCTACACAGGACCTGAACAAGGCAGGACCCTGCACCAAGCCCCATATTCCTGTGATACCAATGGTAAGTGCACCCTTCTTGCACTCCTCTGTCATTACCTCTGTAGCAGGTACCAAAATACCCACTATGAGCCATACCCACTGGAGTGGCGTAGCTTGAATGAGTCCGTTGGATGCACCACCCAGCTCTGTTGCAGGACAGGCTGGTCTGCCTACACCATACAAATACTGCCCTACTGAGCAAGGTCCAGGTCAAGGTGATGGGTGGGCAACATACATGGACTTGCTGCAACCAGAAAATGGGGTAATTAGCAGCACAACTGATCCTGCTAATCTTACTGGGGCTCTAACACAAACCATGCAAGAAGTGCTCCAAGCTGTAACCTGGGATAGGTCTAATGGAGCCAGGGGTCCCTGCTCAGCTCATCCTCTATTGCAACATCAGGCCACTTGGGAGATTCACTGGGACGGATACCAGCACTATAAATAAGATGAATGCCAGATTCTGTCTCCAGGGTGGACTTCCCCTTCAGCCCAGGGGACTGGAAAATATCCCAAGTAGATATCCAAATCTGTTGAGAGGACTCCTGCAGTGACCCCTAGTATTTGGAGATTACGTCACTGGAGGAGACACAAGGCACGTGGGTGATATTCGGGAACTGGTGGGAACAGTAGGCACAGAGCCCCTCTCAAAAAATGTGCTGGACCTATTGACCCTGCTCAGTGCCTGCCCACCTACAACCACACATGCTGGTAGGCGGCTATGTGGGTACACCTCATTAACACGATGGCAGCTGCATTACTGGGCTACTCAGTGAGTCCTTGCAAGTTGCTGTAAGCAACACTCTCTGCCTGTGGAGCCCCAAATTAGTCATGATCAATGCAACAATGCTCTTTTTGGCAGCTTCCAACTGGACCGCCAATGTACCCCAAGTTTGCTTTCATAATTTGGCACTGTTCGAGGAACACCTCCAGTCCCCACAATCAGCCAGCCTCTGGCCAAACTCTGAATTATTACAGTCCCACAAAGCCAAGTTTCAACACTCGCTTGGCAGCATGGGCCTGTGCTCTCAGTACTGCATCAGGCGCAGCTGGACCCAGCAACCACTGAACCATGGACCCAAGCAATGGGGCTCATACTGATCGGATGTGGCTTGGTGCTAATTTTCTGCTGCTTAATGAAGCATAGTCATCAGTGTGACTACAGTCACTAGGAGTGGCTCGCAGGGGTTTGAAGGAAACCTTGACAGCCAGGAGTGAAGTGAGAGTTGACTTAGCAGCCTATCCGATGTGCCAGTCATGACTCAGTAGGGATATTCAGCTGCCCAATAAGTATGGGTGTGAAGCCTGAGAACCCGAAACAAAATGCTGTAAAAAACCTGCTGAAATAGGACCCTGGGCAACCAAGTGGAAATGCCAGCATTAACACCAGGCATGACGGGTTGAAACAAGGCACTAGAGGTAAGTGCTAAGGAAGCTACCACCAGACATCATACGTGAATAAGCAATAACCACTGACCAAGGACTAAAGACTGTAGAAGGCTAATGGACAGAAGGGAAGGTGGAGAAGACTGACAGCAGGACCACCCCATCCTGACGGACGCTTGGTAGATGTGCTCCAGGGATGCCAAGACCTCTCTGCACCACAGCCACCACGTGCCGAGCACTTGTTTGGTCTCTGCGCTGTGGTAAGCGCTGCTGGGGGCGAAGGGGGTGCTGAGCCGAGCTGCGGGGCCAGGGAACACCAGTGGACTCATAGGGGCTGCCTTGGCATCGAGTGCTGGTTTGTGACCTGAATAAAGCCACTCGAGTGAGGGGTACTTAGTTACCCCTCTGTCTCCAACACTGTTTAGAAAACACCTATAGTCTCAGAACGAAGGTCAAGAGCCCGGCAGCTTTGCTTCTCTAATACTGCATGGATTGTGTTGACTTTACTGCACAGCAGACAGAGCTTTCCGTGGGGATTTCACACCCCTGGGAGAAGCACATGCTATTATCCCTTCCTGTAACATACACAGTTTTCATGTGTGTATATATGTGCTGTATTTACACATACACACATACAAATACATCTAATTATACACACACATATTTTTTCAAAACAAACAAACGCCTTCTGGTGGAAAAGCTGAGAGAACAAACACATGACAGATGCCTGTCACACTGTACAAAGTGCCACCAGAAAACGCTCAGATACTACGGCAATAAAAGCAGTAAAGATCTCTAAGCAGTAGTCCCTAGCCCCAGGCTCCAGGTTGTGAAGGAATTAGAATTTAAAAATCCAGAGCCACCTAGGATAGGACAGGATGGGATGGGAGAGCACAGGATGGGACAGGGCAGCATAGGACAGTATGGGATAGCCCACAACAGCATGTGCTCAATAGAGGTTAACGAAGGTTGGGTCACACATGTGATGCACCTCAAAGCAGGTGTTTCCCAAGGGAAAGGACCATGTGTCCTGGAAACGTAAAATCCTCCCTCAGGGAACATGGGCCCTCTGTGTATCTTATTCACAGCGTGGGAAAAAGGCTCACAGACCCCACTGGGGCTGAGCCCCACCACTTAAGAGTATGGTGCCATGAACACTCACAGGACTGGCGCAAAGTCATGAGGTTTTGTTTGGGTTCTATGTCACGTTTCTGAAAGCTGTTTCCTGACCATCCAACTCCCCGGGGAAATCCCTTGAAGGCAGTCTGCGTGTGGGCACGTGCATGCGTTTTTGCATCGCCTCTGCCTAGCGCCCGCTGGCAGCAGCGTGGGGCAGGCAGCGGTGCCTGCGGGAGCTGCGGCCAGCACGCCCGTCCTGCTCCTGCTCACCTCGCTCTCCTGCGGCTCCCTTCCACGCTCCCTCTTTCAGTGCCATGCCAAGGACCTCACCACCCGGGCAGGAACAGGCAGAGCCTCTTCCTCTGGTGGCAACCAGTGCGTGAGTCTGCTTTCTAGCGCTGGAGTATCAAGAGTGGGGGGTACGGATGGCAGTCCATGTGCCAGGCTGCCTCTGGGCACCTTCTCTGTCTCCCATGTCCAGCTGAACCAGGGCTCT